TTTGTGACTGACATGACAAACTAACTCACAAAAAATATGTATTATTTACTACAACCTAAAGTGAAACTGCTGTCACTTGCAAAGATGGATGGGATACTGCTTAATCACAGCTCTGCCAATAGACTATCAGAATACAACATTAGTTTGATAAGCATTGGAGGACTCAGTAGCAAGCTTCCCCACTTAAAGAGCCTTTGTTCTATCATTGTGTGCTGTGAAGAGTTGCAGTCTCTCTGCAGAGGAGCTGTGTGAAAGCATCCTGGTAGCTAAAAAAAGGCTATTCTCGCCTCAACATTGGAGAAAACAGAACAGTGCAGACAGCGAGCCATGCTCCACTCAGAGACGGCTTTTGTCTGGCTGGCTGAGAGGACTGTGACTTCTGAGAGCCAAAAACTGAAAATGCTTTCCATTCCCAAAGGTTACACTTTCTGTGTGTCCTAACTGGCTGGGTCATCAGTGGAAACTAGACAAATTATGCCAAATCTTCCTTTTTTTTTTTTGGTCTTTTTACATATTTTACATGAAGCTACCATAATTTATTTAAGGAAACTTGTCACTCAAAAAGGGCTGAATTCTTAAAATGTGCAAACAAATGTATTGGTAGGATGTTAAGAGAAAGATTGTACATATCGTATGAAATGATGATCAACACAAATCATGCAGGAGGTATTTTGTTATCTTCACTTAAAAGCTTGGAAGAAACAGTGAAATAACAAGGCAGAACACAGAGTGAATAGAGCAAGCTGTTTCACCGCTTTTCTAGAGTTCAAAGAGAAAATCCTATAGATTAGATGCAGAAATGAGTTAGCCAGAGATCAGAATCACAGTGTTCCACTTGATCAGCTCTATGGTACATCACCTACAAAAAAAATTTCCCACAACTTATTTTATGCATGCAAACTCAAAGAAAAATGTTTAATCCACAAGTGGAGCAACCATCAGCATGGAGTCTAATGCACAGTTTTAAAGATTAAAATAAACCAGATAAAGGTTACAGATATGTCTTAATACATAAACAGGACGAATCTTGTAACTCATTTTCAGTAAGATTCAAAACTACAACCTCTGCCAAAGACCTGGAAAAATTCTTTTATCTTTAATATAGTGACTACTAAGTCTCTTTTACATAGTGACTTTGTAGTCACTAAAGTAAAAGAGAATCAAAAGGTTAAACCTAAACAAAAACTGGAACTCTGTATCAACCAGGAAAGGCCTGATCAGTGCATCTGTAGATAAGATCTGCAGATTTCACTGCCAATGCACAAAAACAGCTTTCAGGCAGAACTATGACAGAAAAACTGTGGTTTTGAGTCAGATGACTGGAACTACCTTTGCTCAAATCAGTTTAAGAATGTGGTCTTCTGTCTCAAAGACACATTACATAATATCTGGAAAGCTTTAATCTTTGATTTGACGAAATATAGCTTTATATATCTACTTAAACTTGCAATCAGCTCTACCAAGTAACTAAGCACGATCAAGTGACTGTCTATTGTAATATAAGCCTGAGGTATGTGGATCCTATTGTGTGTTAAATGGAGTGGAATTGCATGTCAGTCTCCGGAAGCAATAATCAGTGTTTCCCAACCAGATATCTGAAGAACTGCAGGGACGAACACCCTACAGCAGAAAGCACTGAACTACTATAGCTGTTTTCACAAGCTTTGAGGCTCATCAGACCACATGCCTTACTATGTTATGCTGGAACAAAAGGTTCACACTTTAAAAAAGAAGATAAAAGCAGAAGTAAATATAGGATGTATTTAAAGCTAAGGTTGGAACCTAAAGCTAGTTCCGCTAAGGCGTCGTTGACAAATAGCATGGAAATGCTAGCAGTGATTTAACAGCAGCAAAGAAATATGTAGGTAAAAAAACAACAACAAAAAAACAACCACCCACACCTTTACAGATATGGTTCTCTCTTTACCTGAATGCTGCGTGAATATATTTATCCCTGGGTCGGGCGCGTTGGTCACGGTTGTCCTGACCGGCGGCATCATGGTGCTGCAGCCGGGTTCCCGGGGTCTCCTCCCGGCGACGCTCCCCCGGCTCCCCTTCCCCTGGTGTGGCTGGGACGCGTGGGGCTGTGGCGGCTGGAGTCCGGCCGATGTAACCTCACCGACGCGGCCAACCTGCTGTCCCATCCCGGTATTTTTGCGTGAGGACGTTTGGGACCAAGCAAGCAAACCTCCCCCCACCGTGTCCCTACGGTTCACATTCCCCCGAGCTGCAGCGGCCTAGCCCGAATCCTCTCTCCGGTGTTCTCCACGAACGTGAACTAGCCCGTGTTAGCTGGCTCGGCTAACGATAGCGGCTACCAGTGAAACCCACCCAGCCTGCCTCTAACAATAAAATCACAACCCTGGGGTGTGACAGCAATTTTCTCTACCCGGGTGGTCCAGATGAATTATGAGGAGTAACGAAAGCTCTCCGAAGAGTTTGAACAGTCAAAGTGGATCAAATCAGAGCCGTTTTCCCGTTGTCGAGCCGCTGCGCGCCCCCTCTGACGCCGCCATCTTTACCGCAGAATAGAAGGATGTGTTGCACAAGGCGGGGGGCTCGCCTCGGCCCCCTGTCAGCTCCAGCGCAAACACCGGTGTTCTGGTTATCTGTGCTACCTCGTCAGACTTTCCTACTGTAGCACGGATAGATAGCCAAGTCTGTCAGTGCTTCGCGTCAGAACGAAACAGTATCAGACAGGAGGAAACAGGTTTTTATTAGAATTAAAATATTTTTCTTGATTATTAATCCGTTGTAGATTTTATCAAATGCAATGCAGCCACAATGTGTCCACTAAACTGCGCAGGTCATCTGAAATTATAGGATATTCATATACACTAATTCTAGACCCCTATTACACAGCTTCAATCCCACATAGTATTACTGTGAGCACACTTGTATTTTGTTCTCAAAACTTTTAATACTCTTGCTACAATTTTTTTTTTTTGAGTGCAGAACTTGCTCTCAGACAAAACATGTGCTCTTGGATAACGGCAGAAAAATTCCCCCATAGTTGTGCAGCATGCATCCAAAAAACCTGGATATGTGGAGGATGCCTCTCTCTCCCCCCAAAACTATCTACAGGTATCTAATTATGTTCGACGTCTGCACAGAACATGAGACGTATTGGGTGGGGGGAAAGTTGGTACAGAACTTTAGAGATGCGTCATCCTTCAGCTGGTATTAAAATCACAAAAGATGTAATTTAAAGTAATTGGATTGATAAATTTCCACTAGATTTAGAGAGCACAGACTCATCCGTAGAGTTCAGTCACTTTCTTATTCATCCAGTTAAGTTGATTAAACAACTCAACTCAGGTGCTGGAATGCAAATAATGTAAAAAAAAAATAAAATAAATAAATAAAATCTGCAATTTTCTACCCCTCTCAAAGACAAAAGGTACACAAACATTATGACAGATGAATCTAAACTTTTGCACAAAAGTGTTTTATATAAATTTACACAGAAAATGGCATTTAAAGAACACAAACTTATGGAAATTCTTTAGTTTTTACATTGTGTTGGGAACAATTCAGACACTACAGGTGCCTGAAAACTACTGATAATCAAATCAAAATCAAAAGTGCCATTTAGCCAAAACTGCTTTCAAAAATAATTGTGAACAATAATTTTACTACTTAGCAGCCCATAGTAGTATTAGATAAAAAAAATAAATTAGAACAAAAACTTTAAATTAATCCATGCATGATATAAAAATATTTCTCCATTACTTATTTATTACACATTTATAAAGGAATCCAAATAATCTTGTGAATCTGTTCTTGATCAAATGAGCAGTTTAAGACTTTTACTAGAGTGCCACCTTGTGGTGATCCAGTTTTCTTTGTGAAAGTCTCAAGTTCTGCATTGGTGGTTTCTACTTTAAGTTGTGCAACTCAAGTTTCACAAGCATCCAGACCCTCAATCACTGCAGTAAAGCAGTTTATCAATGACCCTAAAAAAACCCACTTACTCCAGCATCATGTTGGATGCTGGAGCATTTCTCTGATTTCAGTTAGAAAAATGCAAATGACATTTCTCTTATAACTACAATCAGTTTTTGTAGGATTTTCATTACAAAAAATAATTAACAGATCTGAAAAGGCAAGCCTGTTCATGGTTTACAAGTTGCAATATTGTATGGTTTACAAGTTGCAATATTGTATTATTGTTGTGACAGCTAAGCAGCCAGCTGCAATTCTAGACAATTGTATCACAAAGAAGTCATAAATCACTGTGTAGATTTAAATACTTATAACCAAGGCATATCAAAAATATTAAACATGTTCTCTCATCTGTTACTTTAAAGTAATTACATAATTTAGGGGTTTATTCAGCAAAATATCTGTAGTTGCAGCAACCATCTTAAATATTTTGTAAATCAATTATACTTTGAGTTTTGCAAAAATATTATCAAAGTGACCAAAACATCTTATTGTTGTGACATTGTAGATGAACAGAGGAGTTCATTTGTGCTTAGTCAATCTGCTTAATAAGTTAATAATTAAACACAACACTAATATCCTGTCACCCAATAACACAAAAACCACCATATCTCATTTACAATGAGAAATCCATAAGAGATATCCGGTGAGAATGTTTGATATCCAAAATATTGTTTAACAAAACAAAACTCCAACTAGCAATAAAAATAAGGTCATTTCTTGTAGTATAACTCACAGTTTAACAATCAAGTTACAACATACTACCTTGGTAAATATTAACCATTACATCACATACAGATAATGTGTTCAGTGTGTGATGTTTGTATTAAGCTACCATTGTTTGCACAAAGAGTGGTTTCACAGTGGACCCAAAGCATTATGGGGCCATGAGAAAAAAATAATTCAAGTTGGCGCTTCAAATTTTATATATATATATATATATATATATATATATATATATATATATATATATATATATATATATATATATATATATATATATATATATATATATATATATATATATATATATATATATATATATATGAGGCACTCTTGATGTTGTGATTTTGGCATCTCAGCAGATAGTCTCTAATACATTCATTCACACACTGTAGGACTCATTTTTAAATGCAATAAATTAAGAATGACAGTGAGAGGAGGGCTGGTGGAGTCCATCTTGACTGGTGATAGGGTTCCTCTCAATACTCCCATCTTATCTTATCTGGTCCAGCCATTAGGTCTCTCTGACAACTCCACGAACGAGGCTTCAGCAAGTCCAGGAATGAAGACTGGAAAAGAAACAATTATGAATAGCTGCATCGAGTTCACACTTCAGCTAAACAACAACAGTGCCTCTGAAAACTGTTCATACTTCTCAAACTTCTCAGTCAGGTAAAAAAAAAAAACAACAGCAAACTTTAATATTTTTACAGAAGACATACTTACAAAAAGTTGCCCAAAATAACTGTAAGGAAAATGATATATTTAGGTGTGTTGGAAAAGATATGCATCTAAAAGTTGCAAGATATTATGCCTCTTCTGGGGCACCCCTGGTTGATATCAAAGCTTCTACATGTTAAAATTCCCTAGTCAAAGTCCAGACCTAAAATCATTTTGAGGTAAGGATTATAAAATGCTGTTCAAAGACACTCCACATCAATCTAAATGATGGAAAGATTTGAAGATAATGTATATTTTCTCCTTCCACACATATTTGTGGTCTACTTGATCATATAAAATCCCATTAAAATTAGTTATGGGCAATGTATACCTGGAAGATAAAGTGTAAAATCTCAAAGTTCTGGTATTACCTCTTTGAGTGGACAGTACCGTCTGGCATACCACTCTTGAGAGTAAAGACACATTATGACGCCCTGACCCAGAAAGAGGGACGTCCACATTAATATGTTCCAAATCGGGCCTTTCCTTCGATCGTGGAAAATAAAGTTGAACATCACTGTTGAAAGAACAGAAATTAAGAGGCGGCTAGGAAACAATAAGATAAACGAACCTTACACGTTATTTTTCCCCTTACTTCCAAAGCACATAAAGAGGCAGAAAAGCACCGGGTAGAAGAATCCGAAGCTAACTGCAAGAATGTACTCATGCACCACTGCAGACACAGTAAATACAAAAAACATGGCGGCTGGTCGGAAACGCTTCTGAGATATCTGGAAGGACAATAACAGAAAGAAAAGAAGTGAATACTATGTTACATTTATAAAAAAACATATCATACTAAAATGTTCTGGATTTCAACATAAAACCTACTTACCAAAAGGAAGTCCTTGTACACGTAGTAATACAGCCAGTCATGGACAACCACATTCCAGGTACGGTAGTAATTAGCATAAGATGTTGAGTTCCACCAGTCCTATAATGTGTAATCATAAAATTAATGCACATTTTATTTATAACTTGAGTTCTTGGGTAATATCTGTCAGAGAGTGACAGCAGTACCTTGTAAAACATTCGGTCTGCAAAGCGAAGCATCTCTGCAAAAGCGTTGAGCCAGCAGTGGAGAAAGGCAAAAAAACCCAGCAGGAGAACCAAAACACCTGCAAACCAAAAAAAAAAACACAACAATTTATTATTTCAAGCCAAGAGTTCATTAAAAAGTTTAATTCGATACAAATCCAATTAAAATTTACCTGGCAGTATAGAGTTAAAGACACAAAGGACCATGGCACGCAGATTGAACAGCTGCAGACTGATGCTGCGAAACTGTGGGATGCACAACCGCACAAATATGTAGTAGGTATAAAAGAGACAGCCAAGTACCTGTGGAGCAGTGAAGGAAGGTGGAAATATTAGAAAGTTTTCTTTTACTTCAAATGTTATGCAACAGCAGTATGATTCAGTACCTGAAGTAACTTTGAGGCCACATAGCCCCATCTGGTCACCGGGTTTCTAGTGAAAGAGAAAAATGATTTGCTTTATGCCCCAGAAGGAAGTCACAATTGAAACTAGACAAATAACTAAGAAAGTCAGTTTACCTAGGGTATTTGTCTCTATAAATAAGAGTTGGTGCAAACAGGAAGTAGAGATACTGGGAAACTTGAGGAACCACAGGTCCACTGCCTATAAATGACAGCAATTAGAATGTCAAAGGGGACAGTAAGTCCAGTGCAAGTGCCTCTGAAGTCATCCAACTAGTACATATTTCATCTTATTATAGTAATATTAATAATTCACCTTAATATAAATATTGGGGTAAGTCTGTACCCCAAAGTTAAAACAAAAATTACACAACAATAATTACGTTTAAATGAAATGGCAACATACTTGTCTTGTCTTTTTTCCAGACTAGGACTCTTGGCACATTCTCTCTGACAAAGGAGTGGGCTTTCATCATCAGGCGAACCTGAAACGAGAGAAATATTCCAAGATTAAAATATGCACATCAAAATATGAAGGTAAACATTTCAGTCAAAATAAAAACAACCTTCACCAGAACACCAACCTGTTCTATGATGACGATGAAGCAAGAAGCAGGCGGGAAACTGTTGGTCACTACCACATATGTTGGTAGGAAACCCAAACACAGGCCTTGGTAGAGCAGGAACGCAGAGCCGAACAGCCAAGTGTACAGCCTCTGCTGGCCATGGGAGCCCGACTGGCTTTGTGACCACAGATGGAATAAGGTGTAGGGAACCAGCAGTACGGACAGGGACATGCAAAGCCATGTGCACACCACTAGAGGGAACTGTCCAAATGCATAGACCAGCAGGTCAAAGTCCAAGACCAACCTAAGGCAGAAGATAATAAGAGAACATGGAAATGACTTATTATAATGTCTAGGTAATAAAAAAAAAGGTAAAACAAATACAAAGTGATCATATTATTCAGTATTACCTGCCTTCATCAAGGAAATCAACCACGACTGTGCTGAGAATAAAGAGAATGAGCAGGGCAATAAACATATGGTAGATGGTCCTGATGTGGTTCACCTCAAACAGTTCACTGTGGAAAAACACACATCATAAATCTAGTGGCTGTACAGTGCAGCTGTGTGAAAAATATGTTGCAGTCTTTGGGAAAACCATTCAGCACTCAAATTACAGGGAATCTCATTTGAATGACTTACATAGTGAAGTATGAACTTACTCTAGCAGGGATCTCCGAGTAACAAAGTGCTTCCCGTGGCCATGAGGAGGCTGAAAGTGCCTACAGAAGGGGAAGTGGAGAAGAAAGGGCTAAATTTGTATTTTCTTGTCAGAGGATTACCATCGTGACAAGAAAATAGGCAAAAGATTCAGGGTTGATGAGGAAATGCAGTACCCAAGTTTGCTCCTCTCCTTGTCCGACAGTGGAGGTGAGAAGGCTGCAGGTAGAGGTGTGGACTCAAGGCTGGCTGATTCTTCAATAAGACTGTCCATAAAATCATGGACTTGGCTTTCAAACTGACGCATCAGGTCACTCTTCAGGCCCTGGTCAAACAAAAAGCACACATAAACAACCCTTTTTAGGTGCTTAAACTGATAGAAGAGCTAAAATTCCTCCATATTATGTCACTGTGACTTTCACAAAGTAGGTCAGACATACTAAATCAGCATAGCTTGAAGTGTTTTGCAACAGATGACTGTGTCATGGACTTTTTCAACCTTTAGCCAAACTGAACACATCTTTTGTAATCATCCTTCCAGTATGCATTTCTGCTCTGGTTTGACATTAATCAAGTTGGTTTATAAAAAATGAGGCAGAAAACAAAAAAATAACTGAATGTCAGTTTATGTAAATGATCTCTTTCTGTTCTTTGTTTCAGTCACAATATCATTTTAACAAGTTCAAAATTATCCATAATGACTCAATTAGCATTCATACATGCTCAAAAGTGACTGAAGCTTCAAATCCATTTTTACAGTTTGCAATATACACTTAATCCAACCACTGAATAATAAAAATAAAATCACAGACATTTGTTATAATGATTTTTGCATTTTCACATGTACAGCCAAGCCCAAAAGTGAATTTTAACTCAAGTGTGAGCAAAGCTGGGTCCACACCTCAAGTCAACTTGCAGTCTGTTGTGAAAGAAATCTGAGACAGTCTTAGGATTTGATCTGTGGTCATTCATATCACAGGAGCACAGCTCAACTATTGGGGGGAGACTCAAAAAGTTTTACAAAGACAAATACAAAAAAATGCACTTTTAGGGCATCGAGCTCAGTCAAAGTCCATTCAAATGAATGTATTGCAACTGAAATACAAAAGCCGAACCAAATACTGCATCCAAGTGGTCCTTTGGAATAACAAAAAATTCACACAATAACATTAATGTGGTGATTATGAATATATTGTGTAGTTCTTGAACCAACTAACCTCTGCTTTCCTTTTTAGTTGCAGCTTTTTGCTGATCACATGCTCCACTTCAATTTTCCCTGAAATTAAAATTACACACGATAATGCCATTAAACAACAACAACAACAACAAAAAAGAACAGCATGAACCATTTGGTAGTCACATTTGGAATATCAATGCAGCTTTGTGTTGTGAACATTCCTAAATTTGGCATGTTCAATTATCAACAAAGCTTTCAATGAGCAATTGTTTAAATTGGTTCTCATCAAAATCAGCTAAGCTAAAAGACCGTTCAGTGGAACTATGATTAATTTGAGTCTGGGAAACAAAATAAATCAGCGGCAAATCCCAGAAAGTCGTAACTTCACCTAGTTAAGGTTACTGTAGGTCAATAGCATTCACAGATGCCTGATGATTGACACATTTGTTCTTTCACTGATGTCAGCATGGGTGGAGCAGCACTACACCCAAGTATGTCATGTGTATAGGAGGGAAAGTTATGACAATTCTAAGGGCCCCTGACCAACAGGGGGCCCTCCACAATTTATTTATTTTTTGTTCATAGAAATAAAATAAAAAAAATTGGGGCCCTGTCAATTACAAAATTAATCATATTGTATTTTCGAAGATTGCTTTTAGCAGTAAAAATGTAATGTTCCCACTCCCAGACCACAAAACACACATATTTGCCCTGAAGCCCCCTGGATCTGCATGAAACGGTTCGTTCCTGCTTGGAGCGCTTGACGGTGTTCAGCAGCAGTCAGTAGAAGACAAGAACAACTGTGGCAGTTAATATGCTATTAAGAAAAATGATAAAAATCAGGTTTTCAAAAAATAAAAATAAAAAAATAGACAGAGGGAGAGAGAGAAAAAGGCAAGAGTGTCAATTTATAACCCAGTTTTTCTCCAAGAGAGGTGGATTGTCAACCATTTAGCATGGTTAGCTTAGCTTCACACTACTGTTTGCCTCCATTTCACTAGCATATAATGAATCAAGGAAAAAAATTACCAAGATGTTTATATATTTAACATGTCCCTTTACCACTTAACAACAGATGAGTCAGTCAACAGCAGCTCTAACCCGTGTCCCTCCAAACCCGTCTTCTCTTAATTGAGATTAAAGCTGCAAAAAATGTAACAGCAGCTGCGTGGGGGCCCCAATTAAATTTTTTGTCAGGGAGCCCAAGATTCCTAACAGCACCCCTGAAGTCATGTGAAAAAAATATTTGAAAAGGACATGCATAAGAAATACAATGATTTTAGTTAGTCATTTTCACTGCACTAGGATGGTGTAAACAGATTAGAATAACATACATAATGAGAACAGTTTCTTAATTTATTTGTTTCCGCACAGGTAAAGTTTTAAAGCAGGAAAAACTTTAAAGACGTCATTGTTGAAGTCCTTGTAAGATACCGTAACTTTTGTTGCTTCCTACTGTATGCCACCACAAACTGTCACAAAGGTCAAAAGTGTTCACTTAAGAGGAACAGATCATCACACAATTCAGCCTTTAAAAATAACACATTAATGGAAATATACTGGTGCGAAAAAGGAGGATGTGAATCATCGAAAAATCTGCAACAGAGGTTAGTGTCCCCTTACACAATCTGCCTGATAATGTGCGCGCGTGTGTGGGGGTGTGTGGGATGTTTGCTCACCATTGCTTGTGATGTGGTTATCGCCGTTCCCATGCGGATGTCTTCCAGGACTAGATCCTCCATCCAGGTCTGGGAAGGCAGACGGATCGTTGACGGCTCGGCTGCGGGACCTGAGCAAACTTTCTCCTCCGGTTTCCATCCTACAGAAGCAAAAAGATTGGATTTTTTTTTTTTGAGGCAGCTTTGAAGTGGAGAGGTTAGACACCATAAAGAAGCCAAGTTAGCAAATATATCACCCTTCACATGTCAGTGAAAGGAACGAGGAGGGTTTTAAATGACGGACAAAGCAAACTCAGTTCACAATGAAATCACTCTCACATGAGCAGCCTCTCAACAGCGGACAGAGAGATAGCTAACTCATTACCTTCCGCCAGCTTATCGAAGATAACATGCAATGGACAAAATGACCTAGCTGCTGTATGAATGACAGAGCTAATCAAATTAGCCTTCCTTGGTCAACATGACACCGATAAGACACCTAAAAAATGTCGACTTCCTCAATTACTTACTCGCTTCCGCAGCCCGGTCCTCTCCGTCGAGGCTTCCCCTGACTACTAAACAGACAGGCAGCTTGTCTTGGTCTAATAACGACAACGTGAGTTCACCTACTCCACGGTGCAAACGCTGACCAGATGATGAGCCGGATCCTCGATGGTGATTGGTCGAAATCTCTCCTCCTTTTCACGTCACCAGCAGCGGCGGCGGGGGGAGGAATGGGGTTTCAAAAGAGTGAGAGGATATATTTTTATGCAACGCCAATTGGTTTTTATCAGGCTGTCACAGAGCATGACGGAATAAACATAAACACCAGTAAAAAAACCAAAACATTTTATTAAACGCATTAATATTCTGCTGCTGCATTTTTTTTAAGTAAGTGGTTGACATTGACCTAAAACCTATTAGTTTTATTCGAATAATTTTACGAACATAAATATCTTTCGTCCGGAAAAGTATTGGTCACCAACAAGATAAGGGCTCACTTTAAAATATTTTATTGAATATATCCCACAAACCACTTCACTAAAAAAACTTTAGAAAGGATTTTCATGAAGCATTTGCCTTTTGTAAAACAGCTGCAGAAAGTTTCAAATCTATATTTCTGGACTGGAATGAAACACTTAAAGAGCGTTGTGGCAATAAAATGACTTTACAATATAGGGATGTTATATTTTTAATGATTAAAAAAAAGACTAATTCTTTATTATTATTGTTTTTTGTTTTAAAAAGATGAGATTTCAAATATTTTCCCATTGAATTAGACAAACCCCTTTTAATACATTCAAATGTAACATGAGGTGGTTTAAAAAAGCCAAAAGCAGAATCAGCTTTATTGGACACAATTGTGTGCACAAACAAGGAAAAAACAAACAAGGAACAACATCAAACATCAGAAAATAACATTAACTTGTTCAAGTTCAGCATCTACTCTACATTGTGAGGACTTTTAATACATAAAATGGATATCCTTATCAAATATTTTAATGTAAATGGAGAAAAATATTTATAAAATAACTGTACACTATCAATCAAATATCAAACAATGATGTATCTGAGCAAATAATAGCTTTACGTACAAATAAATACTTACAAAATATACAAAAACAGCTCAAACTACATTATATTTAACTACATCCTGACATAAACAGTATGGATTCTATACAATAACTTACAGAATTTTATTGAACCATGAGGAATATAATCCCATACATAACATACTGCTCACAAGAAGCAGAGAGGTCCCAAAACTACAGAGATCTCAGAGATACTGCTGGGTGTACTGCTCAACTCTATTCCCAAATCTCTGAGAGGAAGTAACTCCATATCCCCTCGATGCAACTCTGTGCTACCTTGAACCTTCACCACCATGTGCACCTAGAAAAACAGACAGAAAGGAAAGATGTTGACTTTGTTCTTAAAATAAATATGTACACAAGAAAAGATTATTTTTTTAATGTTATAATGGTGACAAAAGAAAAAACGATTTAATTTGTCGCAAAAAACGTTTATTCAAATATATCAAATGTGACCAAAAAGTTAATAAAGACATTCAGAAGCATTTATTTAAACATATAGAAGAAAACTAATTGTTTCCTTCTGCACATCCATTTACTTTTTGAGACTTGACTGTATTTATAAGATGGCTTCACCCAATTTGATTACAAAATGAATCTGTTCTTGGGGGAATGTTATGATTCCAATCTCCAGTCATTTCAGTATAATGAATCAGAATTATAAAGAAGCCCACATTATGACACTCGAAACAATCTGCACAAAGATTAAGGAAAGATAATTCACTGCTCATGGTAACACAGACGTTTTCTTCTCTAGACAGAGAAGGATGATTCCTCAGACAAAAGAACCTTTCAGCAGTTTTCTTCAGTCCATCCATGTACTTCAGTGTGGGAAATTCTAGTTTTCTTTTCAAGGAGTGAAGTGGCTTCTTTGCTGGTCTTCTTGTCTCAGTGTTTTTTCTGTGCATTCACAACTATCTGCTACCAATTCAAGCTCTGCACTTGTGGTGACTGTTCTGCAGCTCACTTTTGAGAAGGAGATGGTCCAGGCTTTTCTTCACTGCTGTTGGATCTCTTGTGTTCAATTTCTTGACAATCCAGAAGACTCATCTTTTAAATACAATATCCTTATCCATTATTGAGTCACATTTAAAGGTATTTTAAATTCATTGTTGTCATTCATTAAATAGAAGCATCAAGAAGTAGATGGTGTGTCTGTGTAGTCTATGTTGCTCACATATCATTGTATGTTTTGTCTGCCTTGACATGCATTCATACAAAGAATGCCTTTTCGACTGCAGCAATTGCAGACTTTTTTTCTCTCACCTCACAGGTTTTCCTGGAAACTGCAACGAAGCGTGTGTCGATGATTCTGCCAGAATCCCCCTGTAAGTTTACAATCCACTTAGCTAAACCTGCTGTGGCAGTGGGACTGGACTGGTTTCCTGCACATCTGAGAGTGATGTGCTGGAAAGAAGTGTGACTGTGGAACCTCAAAAACCTCAGCTGTACAATGTCCACAATAGTATACTCCAACTGTCCAAAAACAGAGAAAAAAAGAAATGTAGAGGAAAGAGACAGTAGAAGTAACTATTCATTTGTTCAGATTATTCAAGAAAATTTCTGAGACTTACTCCGTATTTGTTGTATTGAAGAGTAAACCACTGCACCGGCATTCTTGACTTCATGTCTGATTTCAAACTCATTTTGATCTACGGAAATGACACTCATTTAAATCAATGCAAGGTAAATGTTTAAACTAACACATATGTTTCACACCCCTTTAATTGGTTAACACTTATTCATCTGATGTACCTGTGAATGTTGAGGATCTATGCAAGTTGCTCCTCCAGCTGTGAAGTTGCAGAAGACTTTCACTGCATCGCACGCACAGCCTTGATTGGGGTCCATATAAAAATAACCTGGACGCTCAGAATAATTTGAAACAGAAAACCTCATCAGTCTCCTATAACAGATACCTATTGTTAAATTTGATGACTCTAAAGCCCTGCAGGTGCTCACCATCTTCCAGATGTGGATGGATAAGTTTCAGTTCATAGCAGGTGGTGCCTGGATCATCTTTTGTTCCCAAAGGCAAGCTGGAGGATTCCTCAGCTTGCTCATCTGCAGACCATGACATCAACCGGCTCTGCTGCAGAGGAGTCAGTAACCTTATTGCAGTGGCTGACAGACAAAAAGATAATTCAACACAGCATCTATATGACAAGAGAGCTTGTGCAACCTTTTGATCATCTGGTTTTAGTAGATTAGGAGAATCCTGGGAATTTTTCTGTCTGTGACTTGAACTTGGTCTGGGCTTGTGCCTTTGCTCAGTTGGTAGATCAGGTCTTGACTCAGATTGTATTCGTTTATGTCTGAGTCTGCCGGGTAATCCTGGTTGTCCCTGGGAAGAAAATAGGAAAATACAAACTAATTCAGCTGCATTACAGTAAGATGTTTCTTGATCAGACTTAATTTTCAATCTGCAAAATTATTCATACTCCTGGAACTTTTTCCAATTTTGTGATTTATTAACCAAAAACTTCAGCACATTTTAGTAAGATTTAGTTTTCAAATACTTCAACAAAAATGTGAAAAGTGTGGTATGCATCTTTTCTATAAATGCCTCTATCTACTAATACAGCTGCACAGCTTTTAAAATCTATTTATCAGCTTTGCAATGTAGAAATATAAAATTTGTCATTCTTCTCAGTCAACTTAGAAAAGAGTAAACATCACCTTCTAAGTCTAGTCACAGATTTTCAATTCGATTCATATCTGGGCTTTGACTGGGCCATTGTAACTCAATTTTATCTAAACCAGGGGTGTCAAACTCCAGTCCTTAAGGGCCATTGTCCTGCAGGTTTTAGATGTGCCACAGATAAAAAACACTGGAATGAAATGGCTTAACTACCTCCTCTTTGTGTTGATAAGTTCTCCAGAGCCTTGCTGATGACCCAATTATTCTATTCAGGTGTGGTGCCGCAGAGGCACATCTAAAAGTTTCAGGACAGTGGCCCTCCAGGACTGGAGTTTTGACACCTGTGATCTAAACCATTTCAGTGTCCTTTGCAACCTCTCAGATTTTTCTTTTAGGATTTTTCTGTACTCATCTATAAACTCTTACTAACTTCCCCACAGCATGATTCTACCACTACAATGTAGAACTGTGGGAATGGCGAGTTTATTGTGATGGTTCAACTGAATATTTTGATTGTACACTAACATCTGTGGTTGTAACACCTACAAAGGTTTAATGTTCAAAGTGTGAATTTTTTATTTTATTTTTTTTGCCAGGAACAGTGCATGTGTTTGTATAATCACAATGTCTCTTACAGGAGGTCCGGGTTTGCCTTCAGCTCCCTTTGGTCCTCTTTTTCCTTGGGCTCCCTTAATCCCCTTTAAATATCAGTTAAAGTTAATGGCAATGAAGCTGTTAACATGTCCAAATGATATCAATATCAGTACATATCCGACCTAAATAACAGAATGCAAACTCTAAAGATAAAACAAACTATTCCTTTACCTTTAATGATGTTTTTTTAAAAGCTTGATCATCATCAGATTTACATGTTTGTAGGAATATAAATAAATATTTTAGAAAATCACCTTTTTTCCAAGATGACCCTGTGATAAAGATGGTTAGACAGTGTTATTGTAGAAATTAGATGAAAACAAACACAAAAATACCCCCAAACAAACAGTACATAATTTACTATGCATAAAGTCAAGATTTCACTTTTAAAGAGTGTAATATGTCAAGAACATACAGTTAATCCAGGAGAGCCTCTCTGCCCTGATGGACCATAAGCACCTAACTGTCCCTATAGAAAACAGACATTGATTTTTAACATTCAACAATTTATTAAAACATTAGCAAACAAAAAAAAAAACCTTACACTTTTTCCTTTTTGTCCAGTTTGGCCTTTTAGCCCCTGCAAACCAGGATTCCCCTGAAGTCAAAGTTAGAAATTAATTAAGTCTGTAAAAAAAACCTTATTAAGGATGCACCTAAATTATTTTGCATTAAACTCAAATTACCTTTGGCCCGGGTGGACCAACCGGACCTGGCATTCCAATTTCACCCAAAAAACCCTGTAAATATTAATAATAAATGTGTGCATACTTATATCTGGGTTCACAATAAAAGTCTAGAATCTATTCATGCACTATACACTGTTTGGGAAAAAGAGTATTAACGTCACCCCTGTGAGTGTGAATAGTTTACCTTTTGCAGCACAGACAATAGAGAAGTATACTGGAAATATTTTAGCCTATTGCTTGTGAGGTGATGTTCTATATTATATGTCTTCTACCTCAGTGCCAGCGCTGCCTGTTTCACCCTTTTCTCCTCTCAGCCCAGGGAGTCCCTGAATAATAAGTGACCATTAGTGTTAAAGATGCTCAGAAATTATGTCTTTATTAGTCTTTAAAATTAACAAGCTTACCTTTGGCCCAACTGGTCCAAGTGGTCCATTTGCTCCTTTTGGACCAGTTTTACCCTGAGAATTAAAAAAAAAAAAAAAGATTAAAGACAAACGTGTTTTTATATTGTTATTGCATTATCAAATTATTCTTTAACCATAAATGTATGGATAACATACCTTAACCCCGATAGCGCCGGGGTGTCCTCTAATCCCAGGAGGTCCAGGTTTTCCCTATGATAAAAATAAAACTATTTCTAGTTGGCAGAATCCCCTCTACACTTTTTTTTATTTGATTCAAAATCACCAAAGACTTACTGTCTTTCCAAAGTTGCCAGGAGCCCCGGGAGCTCCTCTCAAACCAATAGCCCCCTTCAGAATGAGCAGAAGTGAAGAATACTATTTAAACACCTTAATCATCATCTGAAATAGAAATTTAAAAAGTGAAAAGCAAAAACCGTTCTCACCGGATACCCTTCATTTCCATCAACCCCCAGCAAACCGTCCAAGCCATTTAAGCCCTGACATGTAAAAAACAAGCTTTTACATTTGCATGACAAATCATGTAACACTTTCAATGAATTTCTGCATGACGTCAGTTTAAAGATGTGTGTTTGTATTTTATTCGGTTAAGATACTTGCTGGTTTTCCAGGTGTTCCAGGAGGTCCAGGGCTCCCTTTTTGGCCATCAGATCCCTATAAAGCAATTATATATTATGGAGCTTAACTCTCTATATGTAATTTGTTAAATCAGTCAGTCAAGTTTATTTGTATAGTACATTTCAGCAACAAGGCAGTTCAAAATGGTTTACATCATGGTCAAATAAATGGGTCAATCGATTATGAACAATATTTTACCCTTCATACTGATCAATGATTGATTTGGAATAATAATTCTCTCATAAGCTAATAAGGCAAAAGTAATTACTAGTAATCATGGAGTTTCTCTGTTTGGCTTCAGGATTTTTTAAAGACCTTTGGTTTCTTTATTGTTTTTTTTTTTTTTTTCTAAAATTTAAATTGTACATTTTAGAGACGAGGATGAAACTGAAAATTGTCACAGAAACATGCTGCCGCCACCTTGTTTTACTCTGGAAAATTATTTTATTAAGCTAATCCACAGTATCTGATTTCACCCACAACACTTTAAAAGAATGGAGTCTATGTAATTTGTTTCATCAGGTCATAATCTTTAATGTGTGTACTGCACAACAAAAATATTAGAATTTTAAAAGACAATTTCTTTCTGGATTTAATATTTCTGTTTCTGCCTGATTGATGGGGTGCTGTTCAATAATTGTCTCTCCATGACATTCTGCCATTTTTCCAAAGAAATGCCACATAGCTTTTATGTCTTGACATTTTAAATTAAGTCTAATAATTTTACCAAGATTGAAGTAAAATTGGGGGAATCTTCCAGAGAACAAAATAGTCTGAAACAAGTTTAATTGAAATTTTAGAATCTCGCAGTTTACTTCAATTCTGTGTTTTGATAAATTTTTCATTTTGTAACCAGTCGGATGCAACATAAATGTGCTCATAACATCATTTTTAACAAAAGACTGATGTCAGTTTTAAGAACAGAGATTTATTTTGACTTCCGGATCAGCTCAACCGGATGAGATCTCGTTTTTCCTCAACAAAATGAAACTCACAGTTTTCCCAGGAGCTCCTTTGGTTCCCTTCTCTCCAGACTGGCCAACTTTTCCCTTTTTATACACATATAAAAAAAACACCACACAAACAGATCCTTAAATGTCAATCTTCAAACAGGATGAGAAAACCATAGTTGTTATACCAAACAGGTGAAACATAAATATTGATTTGCTAAACTATTTATTTTAACTGTTATATATCTGCTTTATTATAATTCAGGTTCACAACTGAAACTTTTCTTACTTTTGGCCCCTGAATTCCTTTGGGTCCAGAAGAACCAGGAAGACCAGCAGGTCCAGGTTGGCCTTTAGATCCTGGAGACCCAACAAATCCTAATTTTCCTACAGTGCCCTGAAAGTGCATTATTGCACAAACAGTGAGCACAGTGTCATGTGGGTTGGGTTTCATGTTCACGGTTAAAAGGAAACAATTACCACTGCGCCATGTTTTCCAGTTTCACCCTTTGCACCTTGTTGGCCTCTTGCTCCCTTGCAAAAACACAATTACAGCAACATTGAACCAGTTTGTCATCATTCAGACCATAAATTAAGCCTGACCAGGCAAACAGTTGCCACAGGGGGAGAAATAATGAAAACTCACCATGTCTCCTTCAATGCCTGGAGGACCAGTTCTGCCTTTTGCCCCATGACTGCCCTGAATTAGAGCAAAGGGCAGAGACACAACTAATCAGAAAACAGAAGACATATTCACAGAAGCAGGATCAACATGTTTGTAGATTAACAAGTTCTGCAAGATGTATGAGAATAAAAGGTACATTTCACCTTTTGTCCAGGCTTTCCTGCTTTGCCCTCTTCTCCTTTTATGCCTGATAAACCCTGAAAACAAACAGTGTTATGTTTTTTTCTGTGCTAAGGATCTAGCACAGATCCTTAGCTAGATCTGTGCTAGATTATTCTCCAGATGTAAACATACAAATGGGAGTACAAAATATAGCCATTATCTTACGTTGGCAATAAACCAATCATCATAAATAAAAACAATGTTACACACAGACAACGATAGTCCAATTTTCCCAGAGGGACCGGTCCTACCAGGAAGGCCCTAGAATAGAAAGAGACTGCTATTATTCTCTGCTGTGTCACAACCAAGCATGCATTAATGCTTCACATTGTGACAGATCATGCTAAATGTAACAGTAGGGCTTGCAATGCTCTCTCTCAGTGTTTCTGACAACATCATTCATCACACTGACAGCCTGTCCCTGGGTCCCCTTTTGCCCTTTGGCCCCTGCTGATCCAGTTTTGCCTCCAGGTCCAAACTGTCCAGGGATTCCTGATGAACCTCCAGTGCCTGCCTCTCCCTGTAAATGCATCATGTCAGATCTTTATCACTGACTTGATACACATGCAGCATTATTTATGATGTTATCACACAGAAACTGTCCAACCTTTGGACCTGGAAGACCTTGTTGTCCTCTGTCTCCTGAAGGACCCCTGGATCCCTGCAAAGGACAACACATGATGGCAAAACTGAAGGAATTATGCAATTTAAACCTCATGCAATTATCCATAGAACTGCTCATGATAAATATGTCTGAGATTGTGGCCTGAAAACTTTTGTATTCTGTGTCAGGGATGTCAGGAGCAACAGGAGTATCAGTATCGCAACCTGCTTGCCCAGAGGCCCCTTTGGTCCTGGTGGCCCTCGGTTTCCTTTTTCGCTCTCATCACCCTTTAGTCCATGTGGCCCTGTCGGTCCAGTTGTTCCCCTATCACCCTAAACAGTTAATAAATTAATTAAAAGAACTTTAATCGTGATAGATTTTCAAATCTCAAAATATTATGTCAGCCAAAATGAATTAAAAATTGCATTCAGGTTTACTCACAGGGATGCCTTTTTGGCCGGCTGGTCCTCTGGGTCCCATAAGTCCAATTTCACCCTAATCAAAAAAGTAGTAAGTCGCTTTTATACAACAAGCATCAATATTATTACCTCCTTAAGTAAATACATGCTGTAGTATAATCTAGTTGTGAACAGGTGTGGTTTGGTGTACTAATTTATGGTCCGACATAATCAGGAGACCGTTTCCACCACCGGTTGGATTCTTACTGTATGGTGCTGCTTTATTATTGAAACAGACAAAATAGCATAAAGAACCACACCAAAGCATGTACGTTTAGGAGAGCGACTTGTGATTTTCTGATTTATAAAGATTGTCAGACATTTATCTCATATTATACACTTCAAAATGGCATGCATGTTTTTCTTTTCTGATTTGAATAAGTAGCTAATTGACACAGACCTGTCTGTCACATTATATTTATACACCAGAAAAAAAAGTAATGGATTAATAATTAAAATTTGACTCCAATCAACTATGAAATGTAGGAAACATGAAAAAGATTCTGTTGTGTTCATTTGTAGGAATTTGTTGGGTGAGCACATGGAGGTGATTGCTTTGATAAAAATTAAATTAAATGCAGAATTTTCCAATTTTAGCTTTTTCATTGTGGGATTGTAGTGCTGGAATAAAATCTAGATTCACTTTAAGATTTTATCCCAACGGACTGGAGCTCATCAAAGATCCTGAGATTTTTTGTAGTGGTTAAATTACCAGTACAATCAAAAGAACTCATGTGATCAACAGAGTTTTATTAATATACCTCCTCACCATCGAGACCAGAAACTCCCTCCTGACCCACAGCTCCTCTGAGTCCCTAAATACAATGATTGTATACATTACTTTACATTACCCTGCTAGTCTTGTGTACAGCCAATAAAAACCAAAACAGAAAAGGTGATAAAGGAGAATTTCTTTTATATTCCTGACCTTGTCACCTTTAAGACCAGATGATCCTATGAGACCTAGAGGGCCGTCTTTACCCTGTGTGGGGAGAATAAAATTAATATGGCTTTGCAAAGATCTTGCTTACCCTAAAACTATGACGAACTTAGATTTAGTAAAGCAATGATGACTAAAAGAAAAAAAAGTCCTGCTTTTATTCAACCTCTCTCACACTACAGCCTCGAGGCTCTGAGCTGATCTGGTGACTAACCAAGAGAAATCGTAGCCTTTCAGCAGACTGACATGAAAGACACATCCTGTTTTCTGTTCACATAAGATGCTGTCAGCAGATATCCTAGGAGATATTCTGTCAGTGAAAGGATTAAAAATATTTAAAACTAATTAATGTCATAATACAATATTTGACTTTTTGCAGGATTTCAGCTCTGAACTGAACGAGCTTAGGTCTCAGGTCTGAGACCGAGGCATTCAATAATATGTTATGATTCTGCAAAGCACAGATTGATTAAATGATGAAGTTGGCTGCTGCATACACTGGTTGTGTTTCTACATCATAGAAACACCCTCTTGCATGTTGGAATAGAGGTCAAACACAACAAGTTCTAGTAATATTTTGGTCAACATCGTGACCTATTAGGTCAAACAGACAGGCAGACCTTTTGACTGGCAGAAAGAGAAAGAAACTAATGAAACCAAATAAATGAAGTCCAGCAGTAGATAATAAAGATTAAACTCACAGGATAACCATGTACTCCATCTGGTCCAACAGGACCTTGCAGTCCTTTGTCACCTGAAGGACCTCGTGGTCCTTCCTCACCCCAGCGCCCAATGTTACCCTGGATGCCCTGGGAAAAGAAAACAACATCATGAAAACAAAAATTTAACAGAGAAATTGTGGTTTTTAATCATTAAATTTGATCATTAAAAAAAAAATTGCTTGCACAACCCAAGGATGTGGGTCAGTGATTGATTGGGAGTATTAACTTCATGTATACTATCTAATTAATTAATTAACTCCAATATCTTACAGGAGGTCCTGTGTATCCTTTTGGTCCATGAACACCAATTTCTCCCTGAGGTATAAAATGTTAATTAATATAAAAATAAACTCAGACTTTCAATATTTGTTTTTTGAAAATACTCCAATGTTAAATATCAGCCGATCAGCTAAATTACTCACTGGGGACCCTTGCTTTCCTCTTGGGCCTTTCTCACCTCTTTTGCCCTTTAAAAATCAAAATCACTTAACATTTAAAATGTATCTTATCTTCTGTGGCTGTAATATGCAATTGAAAACCTAAAATATAAGTTCTTAATCCTTACCTTTGATCCTTCATTTCCTGCTTGTCCCCTGAGGCCTGGCTTACCTTTGACCCCCTGAAGAAACAAACATATGTATTTTTAAGTACTTCAACATGATCAATGGCACACACAAAATGTCAAAATAATCTGATTTAGTTATTAGGGACAAGTACTGCGAATTAGCTGTTGCTATTGCACTATGACACAAACATTTGTCTATGTCAATGTGTCTGTCCCTATCAAATAAATTTAAAACAAAAAAATAAAATAAATAATTTAGCTATCCAATGAGAGCTCAGACACTTAAAAAAACAACGGCGTCTGCTTTTCATCGTCAACAGATTTCCTGTGGTGATGGTGGTCAGACGTACTCTGTCTCCAGGTCTTCCTGCTGTCCCCTTCAGTCCTGTGCTGCCAGATTCTCCCTGGTTTTGAAAACAAACACATTTAAACATGATCTGTAGTTTGATCTATAATTTCTCATGAAGAAAATAAATTCAGGTAATTCTGTTTCCAGTCAAATACTCACATTGTTTCCGACAGGCCCTTGAATGCCAGGAGAGCCTAATTTTCCAGAAGAGCCCTGTGAAAACACCAAGTCATCAAACAATAATTTCAGTAACAGCTGAGCAGAAGTTTATCACTTGGAAGCCCAGGCTGAGGCCTTTCTTGTTTAAATCTAAGATGTGATATTAAAAAAAGATGTTTAATAATTTTAGGACTTGGTGGATAATTAAAAGTCTGCTGGACACGTTTTAGAAAAAGTACAAAATCATTTTAAAATGAACATTTCTTCAAATTTGAAACATAGAAAATATAAAAAAAGAGAAAAAAAAGTATATAATTTAATACATTTTCTATGTCATATTAAATCCATTTTGGGTTCTAGAAAGCCTGGAGTCAATGCCAGCAGTCACTGACTGTAACTATGTAGTTATGTGTCTACATTCATTAATTTGTATTGCCCCATTTTTTAAAATAAACATAACTGAAACTGAAACAAGAGTTGGCCACCATTCCATCGTAGGACCAAATGATGCTGAAACATCTGTGAGTTTCCAGTTCACTACACGTACATGTTTCAGCATATCGAGAAAACCTGCAATTAAAACAAAATGCAAACTCCACATACCAATACCTCTTAGATGGGATGCAAAACTATTAACATCGCTCAGCAGTGCAGTGTAAACATCCTTAGTACAGTCAATTCATGTTTTCAAGTGTCAGCATTTTGACTATTTGCAGCTAAAAATGTTCCAGCTGAGGAAAAAGCTGGAACATGTAAGCTTCCTCCTCAGGTCTCAGCAGCCCCACAAAGGCCTCTAACCTTTCAACACATCAATAAATGCAAAGCAACGTTCATGTTGTTGGGAGTGAGCTCACTTTTGGACCTTGAGGTCCAGCATTCCCAGTCGTTCCGTTTTCACCATCTGGTCCCTAGAATATAAGAAAGCCATTTAGCAGTTTATTACACAAAAGTCAAGTTCTCAATTTAAAACATAAATTGATTTAAAGGTAAATCGTTTAGTGAATGACTTACTTTTGGTCCAATTTCACCATCCTGTCCTCTGCTGCCCGAATGACCCTGAGAACCCTAAAATGGAATAGGACAGCAACAATTACAATCTAATTAACCTTTCTATTTCTCATCTGTATTTAGTGGATGAAACTTTTGATAAAGGTTGGATCTTCAGGTTGCAGTTGTTGCTTCAAAAACATTGTCAGGATGTATTTTCTGTAGCTGATGAGTATAAATAAAAACAAATTTGAACACAGTTTTAATAACCTTCATCCCTTTGGATCCTGAAACCCCTGGAACGCCATCCCGTCCCTGCACAAACATGACAACATGACTTTTTAATCATTACATTTGCTCCAAATAAAACATCTGTTAATGAATCTTTTCACATTGTGGAAATTGTCATGCTTATGGAAAGCACAGATTATTATGTTTTCCATAATTAACTTTCTCACGTTTATTGTAGAAAGCATATTTGTAAAAGCCTTCTCTATATGTAAATAGGACACTATTGTACATGTACCCTAGTTGGTGAATGTTTCTGGATGAAAAAAATGATCATAAATTCATCAAAACACCAAAAATAAAAAAAACAATATAAAATCTGTTTCTGCAACCAACTTTTTAAGTTGTCTAATTTAAAACTATTTGAATATCCCCACTGGAAATGTATTTGCTATAATCTGAGGAAGGATTTCACTTGCACTTTATGCCGATGACTGATGGTATTTGCATATTTGTAGTAGTGCATTGATGTAATTGTCAAACCAAGTACATGCTGAACCAGATGACTTCTGCATTTTGTTATATTTTAGAAGGAAGATATATGACAATATCTCCTGATTAGATCAAATGTAACCTTTAATATTTAGTCTTTAAAGTCTTGCTTAGGATTTTAGATAAAACGGAGCAAACTTCAAGAAAAATGAACTTGATGTTGACAACTGTGATGTATTATGTGGTTATCTTGGATTTTTGTGCTCTGCTGAATTACTCATCATTCAGCAACATTTTCAATAACATTTATTTTACATATGCAGTTAAAATGGTTAATTTTCCACTTCTTTTCATGCTTTTACAATGTATATTTAATAGAGGTTTAATAAAAGAAGTTTATTCTTGGAAGTTATATATAAAAGCCAGCAGCAGATCTTTATCTTCAGAGTGAATATTGCTGTCAGGTGTGAGAACAGCCAAAGAAATATGGCCACACAGGAACCTTAATACCAGGTTCTCCTTCAGGTCCTCTCTCTCCTGATTTGCCCATCTCTCCCTGCAGGCAGAAAGCACAACCACAGCATCAAATCAGCCATCAGCATTTAAATTAAACAAATCCTTCTCTTACTCCGACTCACAATGGGTCCAGGCAGTCCAGAAAATCCAACTCGACCGCCTCGGCCCTAAAACACAGCAATAACCACAAGTCTCATGGATGTATTATTCACGCAGTAATCTCACTTTACATCAAAAGGCTCTGGGCTTGAATCAGATTAGATTTTTCTGCAGCTATTGCCTTTATGGGTGGCTCGTTTGGGTCATACAGCTGTCCCCAGTAATGTATGGAAAGAAACCAAGAAATCCTTTTTGCAGTTAGCTGAAAGCCATGTAGGGGACGCATACTGCAATCATTCTGAAAGCACAGTGAAACATGGTGGTGGCAGTATCATGCTGTCAGGAGGATTTTCTTTAGCAGCGACAGAGAAGCTGTGGGGGGATGGATAAAGCTAATAACAGGGTTTATCTGGGTGAAAAATCATGTTAGGGAAAGACTGGAGTCAGAGGTGGAGAGTCACTTCCTGCAGGTCAAAGACAATAAAGTCACAACTCAACCTTCAATTGAATATTCAGTGTTAAATTGTTGATTCATGAGGGGTGAATACTTATGACTGCCACACTTTTAAAATTTTAATTTCAAGTTTTTTAAAAGTGATGTGTTGTTATTTTTTTCTACATCACATAAAAATACCAACAAAATATGTTAAACATTGTAGTTGTACTTTATTGTATTAATATCACTATTAAATATAAAAACTTCCTGAACAAATTATGACAGCTTAGCATATGTCTTTGTTCTACCTTGTCACCTCTTGAGCCAGGACTTCCCTGATTGCCACTCTGTCCTTGATCTCCCTTTGTTAAAGAACGTAGACACAGAAAAAATTAAAAACATTTTTTCATATTCATTTTTCCACTTTAAATGTTCAAATACAGAGATTTGAATAAATTCACCTTGGACCCTTCTTTCCCCAGCCTCCCTGGCTCTCCCATGATGCCATCCGTTCCCTTAATCGGAGAAAGATGCAACTTTACTATCAGAAGTGATTCTGGCTTCATTCATCTGATTTATCTCACTCACAGCAGGTCCAGGAAGTCCCATCAGTCCTCTTGGTCCTTCCAGTCCCTGCAGCCCTGTTGGGCCCTTACGCCCTTTCACTCCCTGTTTTCCTGGAGGCCCTTGAGGTCCCTGAAAACAAACAAAAGTCCAATAACAGAGTCACTGATCTGGTTGACCGTCTAAACGGACTTCACCAGCTGGAAGGATCAAACTTACCAGGTCTCCGTTAAACCCTGTGCTTCCTTTCTCACCTTTTCGGGCTTTGGCACCCTGATTAAAACAACCATAAAAATACACATTTAGATTTTCAGTTTCAAAAAAATTAATTGTTGCAGTTTTGCAGGAAGGAATTAAACATGCATGGTGGATCCATTTTAGCTACAGTAAAAAATGAAATGGCTTTATGTAATCTTACAGGATCACCTGAGGGTCCAGGCTTCCCTGATTCTCCAATGTCCCCCTAAAACATGGGAAAATAAGACAATATTCTGGTAAGTTTGTGAACAATGTTAACATATTTTCACTTCTAAACATTGTCAAAGTTGTCCTACATTCAGTCCAGGAGAGCCAGGTTCACCAATTTCACCTTCATCTCCTTGATCTCCCTGGTACAATAATAATAATAATAGAAAAAATCAATGTCAGCATTCATTTTGTTTTCACTTGATTGTTTTGACATACTTACAGGGTCACCTTTTGGTCCTCTAGGTCCAATTAGTCCAGGGTTTCCCTTCGAAGAAACAAATAGAAGTTACCTTACAATCATCGCAGCCTTATTTTCATTTACAGGTTTCACTGACAAACATGTAGAAAAGCCTTAAAATATATACATTTATTGCAGTTGCATCGTCTCACTGAAAACCTTTGAGAAATGAAACCTTTAATAAGTATATAGTGACTTAGGACAATAAAAAAGTAGATACTTTTTATAAAATCAATAATCAATAACAGTCATAGGTACTTTTGCTGACAGTACTTGTTAGTACATTTCACAAACTTTGTAGATCATCCACATGCCTCTGTTTTGCTCTTATAGTTTCTTGTCTTTAGCTCATCCAACACGTTTTCAGGAGTTTGATCACATTTATTTTGTAGAGATTATTACAGGTGCTCTGAAGTGGGATGACTGGTTAATTTGAAATTATGCCCTAATTTGAGTTTTCGCCCTGCTGAAAAAATGTATTAAGATCAAAATTATGTTGAATGTTTCTTATGTTTTCAGTGTGAAATTATGTTACTACAATAAAAGATGAAATGCTTTTCACACATTTTCATCAGAGGTGCCAGTAAATGGAGAGGGTCAATTTATCACTGAATCACGATTATATCTTAATGCTTAATCAGTCACTTGTTTTACTGATAGATAGTTTCTAATCAAATGTTTTGCCATGTTGTACCTGAGGGCCCTGCACACCAGGAAACCCCACTGCTCCATCTGGACCCGGCTCTCCCTGAATAAAACCACAGTCTTTTAGCAAATAACATTTCCTTAAACATTAGCCTGAAGAGCATGCATGTTAATGTCCCGCCACCTGTGGTCCAGCTGCTCCCCTGGAGCCCATTTGTCCTTGATGACCCTGAAAGCATAATCAGTTCTTTTGACGACTCTCTTTTCATTTCCATATCAACGTCACCTGCTTTAAAACTTGTCTTACTTACAGGAGGTCCCTTAACTCCAGTGAGTCCAATTAATCCTTTGGGGCCAATTTTCCCCTGATGAGATAGAATATTGACTTACTGAATCTTACTGAGTTTGCACTACTCAGATGATGGCTGGTGTGTGGTGTGGCAAATCGATGCTGTTACTGACTTACAGGTGGACCGGGAGGACCGCTAAAGCCTGGAGCTCCGATTTCTCCCTAAAAAAGCAACAGTGATTGTAATCAAGGTGTAAGTTTACACGTGATTGGATTTTGAAAAGTCACTGCATCCTGTGAAAGTTTTTGAAAGACACAAATCATTTACTTTGAGTGATCTTTAGGTACTGTGTCGATAAGACTGATCTAGTCAGCTGTGTGACACTAACCAGAGGTCCTGGTGGTCCTGGGGAACCACGAGGTCCCCTGACTCCAGGTATACCCTGAACATTGAACACAACATATTGTATTTACAGTCATGGATATTATTATGTAACGCAATAGCAAGGAAAGACGAAGTCTGTTCGTTTCAAGCTAAAACTTACACTATAGCCGGGAATCCCGTCAAATCCTTGGGCTCCCTTATTTCCCTGATATAAACAAGAATTACAAATCAGACGACACATCCACTTGGTGAAATTTAAAGGGCTGAATATTCAATCTGACCTTTGCTCCTTTTCTTCCTCTTTGCCCCTGAGCTCCAGTTTCTCCCTGATAACCCTTGAGGAAGAGAACTTTGGGTTAAAATGCAAAGAAAAGAGTAAAATATGAGTAGATATTTAAGGAAGAGCTGATATTTTTAAGATGTGCAACAACCAAACATTTATACTTGTGATTATTTGTGTTATATTGGAAACATAATATTACAATTTTGACGTTTTCTGTCTGTGGGACATGAAGTTCAATGTGATCTTACCCACTCACCCAGCTCCCCTTTGCTTCCTTTCTCCCCACCGTAACCTTTAAGACCCTGTATGAAAAAAAGAAAAAAAAAACATACAGAACAATCAAAGTCATAACTAAACAAATGCATGTTTTATAGGTACATGCTTTAAAGTTTTTTGAGTTTAGATGAAACAGACTTGTGAAGATGCACATTTTAGTTTCTTGGTTGATTTCTCTGTTTTATTTAATTCTATAATATCACAGAAGGCAGCAGAGTGTTTGAGGTGTTGCCTTAAAAATCATCCATTTGTCGTCGCATCGTCATCTGGACATTCACAAACAAATAAATAAGAATTTTGAGAATTCTTAACCAACTTAAAATAGTAGAAGTTTACTTTGATTTTATGTTGAACAGTAAGTAAAAAATATTAATGGTTGTTTTTATACTGTGCATGTAACACAATTAACTGTAACTATTTATTATTTCACAGCCACTTTTCCAGTGTGCTAAAGCACTTTTCTACTTATTATATGGAAAAACGAAAACATAAATTCTAGACACTTTATGTTTGTGAGCATCAGTACCTGTTCTCCAGGGAAGCCTGTAGGGCCGGCATCAGCATCTCGTCCTGGGGTGCCGTCTTCTCCAGGTCGACCCTGTGGACCCGGCATACCTTGTGGTCCAGGTCTCCCCTGTAGGAACATAATATTTCAAGAGAAAATAGTCCCCAAAGTGGATTTTTAATATTGAACAACTGCCAAAACTAGACTTTTTTATTAACTTTCAATGCAAAAATCACAACTCATGTCTATATAATTTTTGATCTGAATTATTTGGAGCCAGAGGAGCTAAAGTGTCACGAGTAGCTCTGGATCTGTAGACTTTTTGTTTATGAATTAAAGCATCAGTATCCAATAAGGAGTTGAACAACAGGTGATTACAGTTTTTCCTGGAACTCCTTTTGGTCCTTGCTTTCCAGCAATACCAGGTGGCCCCTGAAAAAAAAAAAAAAAAAAAAAAAATTCTGTTTATATTTTATCTGATGTAATTTTATTAAGCAAAATCTACAAAATCCCACTGAATTTTTCACTATAAGTATATTTATACATTCATTAATATATGTGTGAATTTGATCATTTCTATTGTCTGAGCCATCATTATTGAGTTTATTTGTGCTACTCCTGTGTCTTAAAATTTCCTGTCAGAGGCAAATGACGTTATTTGAGTGGAAGTGGATTATGTAATATTGACTTTTTAAAATTAAATTGTTTCCCTACAACTGGTCCCTCTTCTCCAGGAAGTCCAGGTGGGCCTGGAGGTCCTTTACGTTTCTGCAAAAAGAAAAGGATACAAAATTATAAGCATAACATTTCTTTCCTTTTTCCTGAACATTTTAAATGTGGTAAAAATCTGAATGTACCAATAAATAACATAGTAACCCACAAAGTTGTACTGTCAATCCTTTAAAGGAAATAGTAAAAAAAAAAAAACCCAACTAAACATTGTTCTGTTAATTATCACGTAATCTTTTGTAAACAATAAGGTCCTCTGAGTTTTGCAGTTACATGTAGGAAGGATGACATTTATGCAAAAATTTAGGCAAAACAGTAAAACGCTGCATCCTAATCTGCATACTGTTCAGTGGGATTGCTCTTATTTAAGACAGCAGCAGCGAACAATAAATCCAGATATTAAATGGGATTAAAGGATACCGTGCAATGACAAGTGTTTTGTACTATCTCACCAACCACCTAAATCAGCAGCTGAGTTGCTGCCGGACGAATTTATGATAGACTGACAAATTTAAATAAGTACATTAAAAAGGAAGCCTTTCATAATGAAAAAAGGAAAGATTACATTTGCACAGCACTGAAGTGCTTTTTAGAAGGTAATATTTGTGGAAAAACATCTTCGTGAAAGGCTTTAACAAGGATGACAGATTTAAAGGTAGCTCTTTCGCAGAAATAGTTAAATGATTTCACAGTTTCTGAAATGATGAAAACACACATGGAGGTTTTTTTTTTTTTTTAAAGTCCCACAATACGGTACATTGCTTTAAATCTGTTACACTCAGTTTATTGTGCAGAGACATTCATAATGTCCAGTCCATATTAACTAAAACAAAGCCAAAACAAAAAAAACAATGCTGAGTTCTTCAGTCAGTGATGCTATAAAACTGCAAATAAAACCGATTTCTTAATTCCCTATCAGGGTTTATCAGACAATTCTCATCAAACCATCTCTATCTTCCCATACTTTGACTTTATTTTTGAGCATTAGCCACTTTCCTAAGAGGAGAAAAACGTAAATACATCCTAGTGACAAAACAGTCACCTTACCGGCCAAGAAGATACAAGCTTTTTGTAGAATTTTTTTTTCTGCAAGAGAATGAGACAAAAAAACAGTCGTGAAAAACAATTTTTATTATCAAATGATCAAAGTTAAGTAATGATATAGTTTTCAAGGGGAGAATAAGTGTGAGAGAGACTTGCAGAATCGATCTCTAAATTAAACTTATCAGATAACACAAAGTTAGCTAAAAGATCCCAAAAAAATAAAAATTCAAGTTAAAGAAATTCAAGAACAGATTCTGAGAATCCTGTAAACTCCAGTGAGAGCCATTATCCACACACAGAGAAAACAAGGAACAAGAGTGGCTGACCTACCAAAATTATTCTAGAAAAGCATTAGCCCATCCACTGTGGTTGTAGCTTAGTCCTAGAGTAGTACTTTTGTAGAACGATTGAAAGGTTTTGGATGGGCTAATGAAATCAAATCCATAGAAATGTGCAAACAGGTGAATAAATGTGTGAGTGAAAATGGGTGAATGTGGTTTGAGTGGTGAGTATGATGAGAAAGGTGTCACATAAGATCGTCTAATTTATCCAGCAGGTCACAAAAAGACTCGTATAAAAAACATCTGCAGCACAGCAAGTTTCACTTCTTTATTTCAAAATCAGTATTTGTGATTTAATATCAAAGAGACTGAGAAAAAATTTGATCTCTTAGAGAACTCCAAGGTGACCTAAGTCGTTTATTTGTTGCTGACAAACAAACGACCTTTGTCACATTTGTCTAAAATACCTCAATGATCCTTTGTTGATGAAATTTGTCAAATTAGGTTAGGATAAACTACAAGAAATCAGCCAATTGTTCCTTTCCCTGGAGTTTTATGACTGCAGAGCTGGCGTCTTGCATCATGTCATAAATCAGCAGGTCATATAAAATTCCCGTCCAACAGAACTGCAAAGATTGCTAAATGAATGCATCCTATGACAAAGAAGTAAATAGATATGAGCAAAATATTTGTTAGAGGTTTCATTTCTCCTATCTACTTTTCAGTGTTTCAGTAGCTTCTACTGACCCGTTCACACTACTACATATTTTACGTCTTTATTATTTTACTTCAATTCATATTCACTTAGTTCTCGGTTTATTTGTTCTGTCCCAGACCACTTTCACTTCCTGTTGTTTATATTTATGGGGTTTGATTACTGCTGGTGGAGATCCACTGACGACACTTACCTTGAAAGCCTCCCACTCTTCTTCAGAGGTTTTGAACACAACAATGGTGGACATCCCAGGTGGCCCAACAGGGCCTCTGTATCCTGTCTGCCCGGTTCTGCCCATGACGCCCTGGTAGCCCTTAGAAGCCAGAGAACAATGTGTTTCTTTGATGAGGAAAACATGTCTAATTTTAGATCATGTTGTCATCATTTAGATGAGCCTCTATTGAAAAAAGAAACACAGCTGGATTTTTAGTAGATCAAAGATTCTTTTTTATGTAAATTTAAAGTTTCAGATGGTATAACAAAAGACTCTCAGACTCTAAATGATCCAGAGCCATTAACCCAGTGTTAATTTGCTTAGAACAAGGTTTGAAGAAAATACATTGCTATAAATATAAGCAGCTGTTTAAAATGAACACTTTACTTTGTCTCCTTTAGTTCCTGGTGGCCCTGGCAGTCCCTAAAGAAGGAATAAGGTACAAATTTAGTTTTCTTGCAAAAGCTTTGCAACAAAATTTTCTGGAAAAACAGAAAGAAAAAATCTCAATCCTGCATAATTATTTTTTTCACAGCTGTTCATGGTTTGGTTTCATAAATGTTTCAGTTACACATCTATTTTCTATTTTTATTTCAAAGTATGTGACAACTAAAAATTTTTATTGTGTCCTTACATATTTTGTTGTTTAAACTGCAAAATCTTTCATTTCCAGCACCAACAAAGTTAAAAAAGTGAATAAAGATTTTTTATGCATATTAAAAAATATTTACAGATGTTTCCATTAAGTGCAAATATTTCAGATGTTATTTATGCAGATAAATAATATCCTCTTAAGATATAAGAGGAAATCTTAGTTGTTCAAGTGCAAATGCAAAAGCTGTCAAAATCATTTGTAATACCAAAGATTGACCACATGAGGGAGGCAAAGCTTTTCAATCAAGAAACAAACCCAATCTTTATTTGACAACGTCGAACCTTCAAAAGAAAAAGGTTTCATCTGTCTTAGTCCCATTTGAATTTCATTTTCAAATGCTACAATGGACAGCTTCATATAAAAGTAAATTAATTTGCTGCACACAAAAATACAATGAGCCACTTTTTAGGATCATACACATTTTACAGTTTTTTTTCATAAAATATGAAAAGAAAAAAAAACCAAATCTATCAAAAGACGTTTGAACTTGATTGCTGCGAACTAACATTTCTATTCGTAGATAAAATATTTATAGTTTTATTGTTTCTAATTATTTCTATTGTATTGTATGTGGAGCTATATTTTCTTTCAGTGTGGTGAAGTGGAGAAATAATTTATTGTTTTTGATCCCAAAAAGGGAAAGTTTAGAAATCAGCACTTAACTTTACCCTATGAGACTGATTCATAAATCTTTAAAACATTCAGAGAATAAATGGCTTCGGTTCAAAACAAGACAAAATGTTACATGCTTTTGTATTCATAAGAAAAGACGATTGTTTTCAGGTCTTTATAAGTCTCTTTGAAAATAAAAATCACTCCCGGCAGCTGCACCTCATCAAAAAATGCTGCTGCCAGAATCCTGGCCAGAAAAAATTTAAATTAGAAAAAAAAAAAAAAATCAGCTACATTACGAGGGTCGTTCAATCTCTGGCTATTTTATAAATCATCTAGGCACTGAGACAGCAGTGTCAAGCATTTCAGAACTGCTCATCAGGAATGAACTTTGCAGGTCAGGTCAACTAAGGCCTGTTCACTCAGGGTTCATAAGGTTCATAAGGTGAGAACAAATTATTTCCGGTCAGCATCTAGTTTTTACGATCTGGCACAAACTCCCTGAAAGCCTAAAATGTGCAGAAACTGTTGGCTCTTTTAAATCCAGACTGAAAACATTGCCGTTTACTACATAAAGGTAAAGACTATAACAGTTACCAATCTATTAGTTACATAGTTTAAAATTGACATTTAATTTATTCGTTTATTTTTTTGTTAACATGTTTGATTTCACCTTTGTATAAATGGTGACATATAAATTATGTTTCTAAAAACTTCTTTTGAAAAGTTGTGTTAAAGTCTTACCCTTTGACCTCTGATTCCTGGTCTGGGTTTTGCCTGTACTTGTCTGTATTTGATGTCTGAAGCCTGATTGGCTGCTTGAACAGCCTGTTGTGGCGTTTCAGTCTGGGATTGGACCCCAGAATTAAATTGAAAGATTAAATCAGATGAGGACTGATGGTGAGGTTTGACATCCTCATTGTCAGAGACTGTAGCTTCCATTGTTGGATGTTTCAAATCTTCCTCCTCCCGCTTTAACTCTTCATCACCATAATCTGTCTCTGCTCTTTCATTTCCTCCTGCTTGTGGAAGTTGTATTGCATTTACTTTAGGAGAAACAACTTCAAGATGTTCACCCATTTTCACTTTTTCCCTTGCCTCACCGGCCGAAGTATTATCCAACTTAGCGTCAAAGTCAGTAGTGTTCAGTTCTTCTCCCTTTACTATTCTGCTAGTAATTAAGGTCAGGTTTGAAGCTGGATCTTTCTGAGGTGCAGATAAATCCTCTGATTCTGCCTTTTCTTTCTGCTCCTGCTCCTGTTTTGCTCTGCAGACTTCTGGGGATGAGATCGTGCCTGCAAAAAGTGGCGGTGTGATAACTGATGATGGTGATTTCGTTCTTACTTCCTTCATTTCTCCTCCACCCTTATATGAGGGGAGTGAGCTAGTGACAAGAGGGGCTGATTCAGTGGCAACATGCGGCCTGTTAGAAAAAGCTTCTGTCATGATTGTTTCTGTGGGATTCTCAGATTGAATATTTGGGCTTGAGAGAGTCGCCTCAACACTGTCTGCGACTGACACATTATTACTTGTGAAGATGTCTGCATGAAAGTCATACTGACGTTCCCCTGGAGTCGGACTCCTGGTCTTGTCTTCAGAGCTCCACCGACTCCTGTGGTTCTCCACATCAGATTCAGACTCAGGATTCCTGCCTTCATAATCTTTGTGTCTTTCAATGTCTGGTTTGTCTCCATCTCCGATGGTTGAGCTCATAGATATTGTTTCCACAATGTTCTGGGTTTTTAGTAAAGCCTTTCTGTGTCCATCATGTATGTGTGAAGGAGGGAAAGTTCTCACGGTCGGCTCAGAGAAACCAATCCGGTTTTCTGGGCTTGATTTGAATCCAGCTTGAGTGGTTATCCCGCGAAAAGATCCGACCTGTTTGGAATATTTTTAACATGAATAAGTTCAGGTTTTATTCATACATCTTCTGACAACTGTAACCAAAACAATAAGGACGTTTTTCAAAACAGAAATGACTATGTAGGTCAGAATTGCAAAGCCACAAATTAAAGTTTTCTCTGCAAAATATATGATAGTATTGCATTCTCTTCTAACTTATTTGACTTTAAAATGATGAGCATGAAATCCTTACCGTGCAGCAAGTATGACATTAAATCTATAAAGACACTGTGAATAGAACTCAATAATCTAGGATAACAACAGTATAACAGCTGACTTTAGGTTAAAAAGATAAGTGAGACGATTCGCAAAAACCATAAAAACTTAAAAGAAATCAATTGAAATAAGGGATATAATCAAATAATAGATAATAAATCTAAAACAAATTCCTGTCATAAATTCCTGTCATAAACAGATTAGACAAGCCAAAACTTACAGAATAAAAAAGAAATGAAACTTTAGCTATGATGTCACTTCTTCCTGATTATTCTTGGCCAGGTCAATTAATTACATAGGATACAAGGGACAACAATGAGGAGACAGAATGAAAACACTGACATAAAAAAATGAGAAAAAAACAATTGTCTTGGCTTTATGGGTTGTAATATTAAAACTAGCCTCCATTCCTGCGCATTCAAAAAATAATGTATCTAAATTACAGCAAAGGCAGTTCAATATCATCTTTGATAAAATAACAATAACTAAGTTAGATTTGATTGTAAATCTGAGATGAAAATGTTGCAATGCTACACCTGCAGGCAGCATTACCTACATCTTATTTAGGTTTTCTGAATGAGGCTGAGTGAGACAGAAATAAATATCAACAACCAAACTTACATAATTCAGAAGAAATATTAGCACCGAAACTTGAGCTGCAGACATGGCCTCTGGTGGAGATAAAAATGGTTTCTTCTCTGTAAGTCGGAGCTCCAACCCAACCACTCCACGTTTTACTCCAAAAACCCTGAAGTAAAACTTTGCCCGGCCTGACAGAGTTACAGCTCATAGCAACCAGGAAAAAAAAAAAAAAGAGGAAACCAAAGTGAAAGCACATTCAGACGCCTATTGATGGGGACGCCGTCTCGTCATTGTGGCATCGCTGTGCCAGACGGGCTGCTGTCCAGCAGTTTATCCTTCTCAACAAATCTGCAAGTGGCTCACGACCGAAAGTGTGAGCAACACTTGTGTGAGCATGCTGACAAACAGAAGGCGTGAATGCTTTTCTGTTTATTCAGCGCAGATTATTGGATCGGAGAGCATATGATCAGATGAGGTGGGAAACTCAACTGCTCTGCATGTGTGAGTGAGCATGAATGAATGAGCAGGAAAAATTTAAGTTTGAAATAGCTAAAGTGTTTAAAGGAGCCTCCATTGAAGACATGAATTAGCCCAGACATTAAATTAAATCAACCTGACTTGCACCCAAATTCTCATTAAATCACATTTTCTTGTTATTTTGTCAGGAGAGAGACGTGGAGCCCTGATGTCCGGGTGAGAAATGTCACATGAGCGTCAGAAGAGCAATAGGTGACTACATAAAGAAGGGTGTGTAGGGTTGGACTGGAGCTTACAGGAAAGCATGTGTGCCGAGAGGAATCTTCTCTTCCCAGCGGGATCACACTTAAAAGCGAAATGTTCAGACAGGTCAGGGGTGAGTAAGGTCTGCATGTCATAGAGATCAACAGAGAAGAACTTATAAAGCACAGGGTCCAAACTGTAAATACCTCAACACACCGACTGGCCAGCATTTATTCACCTCTGGATGTCTTGATGAGATCCTTACTTGGACGCTGATGCCAAGTTTTAAATGGCAATAAAGCAAAACTGGATTTGTTGATCGCTGACAAATTAATTGTAAAGACTATGGAATAGTATGGCTGATAGAAGAAGAAGCTGTTGTTATGGAACTGCCAATAAATATTGACAAGTAAAAAGGGATATAAATTATTGGGTTGAAACAAAACATTTTCTTTTAAAAGTCACATTCACATCTCTGTGCATCCTGTATTCATGCTAAAAGGCTGTGTTTAACATTTCCTACATGTTTCTTGGTAAAATAACTTTAAATGCTGCTAAGAATATGAATAATTTTGTGCTTCACTATACTTTCACATGCATCTCCAGGTATCTAAAAACAGTTAATCACAAAGGGTTCATGGTGACAGCATGCGGAATAAAAATAATTTATATAAATCATGGCATTTTCAACAGTCTTGATGAAAGAGTAAAACGTCTGCAAAAAGACTTCTGAGCATCTGATATTACCACCTTACTGTCAAAAGACAAAAGTCTTAAACATACAGTTGCTTAAATGTCCGAACTGGATCATGAATTTAAATGTTTCAAGTAGGCTAATGGAAATGTGACGAATTAAGAACGCACATATTAATATGCTTCTGAGAAACTAAAGACTTTTCCAATATAGAGCCAACTCACAAGTGAATGTAAACTGTGCCACAAAGCTGACAGACTCAGACGGCAGTAGAGTTTTGTGTAAATAACCCAGGTCAGTTTTAAACTTTCGACAGAAAAAAAAAGAAACAACTCTTTACTCCAATTTGCAAACACTGCCATATGAAGATAATATTCCAGAGAGAAACTGTGGGTGAGAGCTTAGTTTTTTTACTTAATCACATAACATTTTGGAGCCAGCCCCATAAATAAACTGAACCAATATTCATCTGCCATGATGGAACAAAACAAAATGCTAAAGTTTTCTAAAAAGTACTAAAATGATGCTTAGTTTGAGTTAGCTAAAATTGGGTTGTGAGGAGTATTTTGGAGTTGACAATATCTCATTTTATTCTATCCATCTTTATAAATCCTCATTTCTACGTTCCAAGGCTCAATTTCTTTTCATCTATTCTTGTTTGCCATCAGCAAATAAAGATGAATTGGCTTCCCACCAGCACTAAAACACAGCTTGTGTTTGTGGATTAGCATTGCTTAGGTCACAAAAAATTCAGTATATGTCAATCTGTTTGTGGATGTATTTAACTATTTTAGTACGTAAAGTTTTTTCAGCCTGAGAAACATCTGCCTATATATGATGAAAGGCTGGAATCCAGAAATAAAATAATCATTTGTTTACTTTGTAAAGTGCGAGTTAGTAAAATTGTTTCACAGGTTCATTGCTTTATATTTGTATATGTACTACAAAACATTTACAAACATGCAAAAATTGTTGCTGCTACTCCCATGACCCGATCCGACCCTGAATAAGTGGAAGAAAATGGATGGATGGATTTTTAAATAAGTTAGCTCATTTATGACACAAATTAGACAAATTTTGCTCTATTATTTTTTTTTTCAGTTTTTTTTGAAGGGTCAATGCAAGACTTTTGTAGATCTGCCTCCTAAAAGGCATCACCATGATCTTAATTACAAAAACACGTCAGCAGACTGGTGTGTTAACAAATCATACTAATTTAATTTAACTCGGCACAGAAAAGACAGGGCATCTTTTTAATCTGTCTGTAAACGGTCATTAACAGGCATGATAATTACAGTAGAAATCAAAAGATACTATAAATGAAAGATGGATTTTGTACATCTTATACTACATATTTACCAGAGGGCTTGTCTATCTAAATAATCCAGCCTTGATAGGGATCTTTCCCAGGCACAGATTAGGTTGTCTGTATCAGACCGACAACCAAGTTAAGTCCTAAGTTGAGCTGTACATGTGTAGGACATTTTTATGCAATGTATATACTACAGGGAGATCATAACCCAACCGGTTTACTGTAAAACGCACTTCAGTGACTTTTCTGCTAAAACTTTTTTTTTTTTTTCCAGAGAGCTCGTGGATGTCAATATGTCCTGGGTTCACATTTCAAACTCATTATATTTTAACAACACAACAGCACATGATATAAATATTCATCTTAATCAGAGGGAACAACAAACCTTTTTGAAGTTTTGCAAATTTCAAAGTATGTGGAAAGTGATTGCTGGGAACGAGAAACAAATACACTATATTCCTGAAAGTATTTTGTCACCCAGCCCAGTCAGTGAGTTCTGACGTTTCAGTCGACTCTTTGTTCGTAGGACTATTAAGACTGGCTGCATTGACTCTGCTTTTACAAGCAACTGGGAAATTAATGAATTCAACATGGCACAGAACGTCATCTGTGCAGTGAATTCAGTCATGAAATTTTCACAAGAGTGACACGACTGCAAACAACTGCATCTCAGGCACAAAATTAGTGTGTATTGTGTTTTTTCAGGAGTTTGGGTCAGCCTCCTAATTTAATTAAATTAATCTTTAATACTTCAACCTAACAAGACATGTTGGACCATTTAAGACTGCCAACTTCATAGGAATGGTTTGGAAATGGCAACATGATTATTGGGATTCACAAAGCAAGGTGTGGAAACACAAAAACTACGACATAATGGTAAAGCAGATGAGAAAGTAATAAGCAGGCAGGTGAAAATAAATAGAGTCTTTCTTTTTTCTTAGGAAAATTACAAACAAGAAACAAACCACTCCGGTATCAATTACAGAGGACCTGACTCAGAATGACAAAAAATAAGTAATATTTATGGTGTGGTGTTAGATTACTGTAAAACAAGACAGACGAGTTAATGAGCAGATGAGCTATGGACAGCAGAAAGGCGAGGCACTGAGGGATAAATAAACAGTGAACGCCAAAAGAAGGCAAACCAAGGAATA